AGGATTAAGAGTAATACACCAATCAGAGGCCCATTTAGTGACATGTCTGAGGAAGTATTCGTTAGCACGAATGGCATCATGAGCTTCTTTCCTAGTACAGAGTATAATGGTATCATCAGCATACGTAGATAATAGCATATTACTAAGTCGGTCAGGATTATAGACATCATTACGGCTAATTATTTCAGGAATAGGCATATCTGAGGTGAAGATCGAATAAAGAATGGGACCCAAAACACTCCCCTGTGGGACGCCAGCTTTGACATTTCCGATTCGGGATGATGTTCCATTTACTCCATTTACAGTAAATGTCCGATTACTTAAGTAGCTTTCTAGAACACGATAAAGTGAGTAGGGAAGGAGCTTAACTAGTTTTAATAGGAGACCCTCATGCCAGACACGATCAAAGGCCTCACTCACATCAATGAAAACAGCAGAGCAGAAGGAGTTTTGCTCATAGGCAGATAGAATGTGTTGAGTGACTCGTAATAACTGCTGCTCAGTGCTATGTTGTTTTCTAAAGCCAAACTGATGAGAAGGAATGGCTCGTTCAAAGTCCTGGCAGTTAAACATCCTATCCATAAGTAGCGTTTCAAATATTTTAGAGAAGCCAGCTAGTAAGCTAATGGGTCTGTAAGAAGCGACATCATAGGGACTTTTTCCTGGCTTCTTAACCATAGTAATGGCTGCATGTTTCCATTGTTTGGGAAAATAACCATATCTTAGAATGCAGTTGTAAATTTGGGTAAGATAAAGAATAGCTTTTTGAGGCAGTAACTTGATAACCTTATTATCAATGAGATCCGGGCCAGCAGCTTTCTTGTTTTGAAGGAGCTTTATTTTGGAGTGCACTTCATTAGGTGAGATGGGTCGGAAGGGGACACCAACGCCATTAGGTTTATTGTCGAAGGATTCACGATAGATCCAGCTGGGAGCAGCCATTAAAGATTTTTGGAGGCGGACTACTTCTTTTTCAGCAAGGACTTTAGTTCTAAATTCAGGTGGATTAGTAAGTTTAGGTGAGAACCTCTCCTCCAAGTGAATAACAAAAGCATTTGATTTGTCATCATTATTTTTGGTCCAAGTAGTTGAATGATTAGCGCCATTAGAATTATTAACATGGAGTTTGAGTGGCCAGTTAGGTTCAGGTTGTCTTTTGAATTGATTTGTAATTCTCCAGAGCTTTTGAATACGATATCGATCAAGTGGGTCAATTTTGTTGAAAATATTATTGGTCCTCTTAATTTTTTCATCTCGTAAGGCTTTAGTAAGCGCCTACAGGCTGCCAAAAAATTTTTTCTGGCAATAGGGGATTGCACTGCGATAAGAAGGCGTTTCATCTGGAACTTAGCATCTTGGAGTTTACGAAGTTTTTGATTAAGAGGAATTCTCTCAGGACGATTGGAATGACGAGTTCTTATAAAACGAGTAGCCAGAGAGGCGGCATGGTAAATGTTACGATTAAAGATGTCGATCGCATCCTCAATGTCTTGACCACTATTAATGTCTGTGTTGAGCAGTATAAGTCCCGATAAAATATTTTGAAATTTCTTAATGTTAGCGCCAGAAGGGAGCAGTCGGTGAAGTATTTGAGTGCTAGCCACGCAGACATTTATTGAGAGCTTAATAAATATAGGCAAGTGATCTGATCGCAGATCAACTGTAGAGTAAGTAAGAGTTCTGTAATAATGAAGGCCAGAATAGACTGCAAAGTCTATAGCAGACGGGAGTTTTCTTTGATCGAAGGGAAAATGAGTGGCCCCACCCGTAGCCAGCACATTAAGTAGCGCGTTTGAGTGTATGCATTCAAGAAGAGATCTACCCCTAGGGCATTCCAGCATTCCAGTCTCCGCAGACTATAAACTTCGAATTTTTGGAAAGGCTTTTGAAATGAGAAAATAGTCTTTGAAAATGATCTGTAGTCCAAGAGAATGTTGGTGGGCAATAAATTGGGCTGATAACTATATCCTCGTCATTAGTAGTGCGCAACAAAATCGGAGCACATTGTAGAAATTCTTCCTCAATAGGTTGCAAGGCAATATGTTTTAGTTTAGCATTAACATAGGTAACAACTCCCCCTTTTCTATTACCAGAGGGGTGGAAAGCAGGATACAGTAAAAACCCTTCAATATTATAAGAATTATCTGCAGGAGCATTGGAGCCAGGGTTTGTAGGTAAGCGGCTTTCCATGACCATCATAATGTCAATTTTATTTGATTTAATAAAAAATTCTAATTCAGTCATTTTGTTATTTAGTCCACAGGCATTCCAATAGGCTATGTTAATAGAATTAATATTAGGTTCGCTTACAGGATTTCCAGAATTGGGCAGTGGATTATGGAATACACTCCGCTGCAGAGGAGCAGCAGTGCGATGATTGATTGATGAGTAACTAGACATTAAAGGAGTCATTAACAGTAGCGGGTAGTGGCAGATTAGAGCCAGTAATGAGTGAGCGCAGGAGAGTGATGAGAATATCCAGCTTCTTGCCCATCTCACCTATAGAGGACAAACAGCGATGCATTAACAATGGGAGATCGCCGTGTGCTGGTGAGAGAGGGGGCCAAGACATAACAAGTAGCCGCCTTGGGGTAGGTTGAGGATGATAAGAAGAAGAACAAGGTTGTAGAGCGTGGCAAGTGTCCTCATATTGGTGTGATTGGTTGATATTAGGGCTGGGCTGCTGCTGAAATTTGTTTAAATGATTATCTGCAGGGTTACGTATGTGGAGGATTTGAGTGCATTTATTATCAGGGTTATTAATTATAGATTTTTTGCCTGAATTAGATTTCACCTGGGGGGTGTTAGCTTTATTTGATTTGAGTTTGTAATCAGGTGAAATGACTTTTCTACGCCCTCGAGGAGGCAACTGGTGATCACTATTGTTTTCCCAGGCAAAAACCTGCTGTTGTTGCAATGAATTCAGAGATAGGTGGCGGTGCTGCTGCTGACGACTGACGCTATGACTAGGTTGGGGATTGATCCTCCCCTTGGATTGAATTGTAGAAACCTGAGAATTAACAGTTGTGTGTACTTGGTAGGAAAGGAGCTGAGACTTGGCTTTTTTAAACGCAGGACACCCTTTATAGCTAGCTACATGGCCAAGACCACAATTGGCACATGTAGGTTTAGCAATTTTAGTTTTAATGCAATTCGTGGATGGGTGGTTGCCTGCACACTTAAGGCAGACAAAATCACGACGGCAGAAATTTTTTAATAACTGGTTCAGCTCCACATAGCTGTCGTTCGTTTTCCTTGTTTTTAGGGGCAAGTTTATTAATGGTTGCACGGTCACTAGGAGTCAAGTTAAGGTTAGGAGAGAACCTAGGAAGCCTATAGGGTGTGGAACGACTTTTGTCGACACGTTTCCATTTAGGCTATCTTCATATTCATATTCCATACTAGGATCCATATTGTTGTTACTGCTAGGATTTGAGGATGGCTGCTAGAATGGCTCCAACATTTCCATGTGCAAAGTACAGTCTCATTAAGGATGATGGTGTGACAGTACAGTATAGTACAGTAGAGTACTTATTGTGGTGGTGGAGTTTGACGTGATGATATTAGGAGGAATGCATATAGGTTGATGTAGTAGTGCAGAAGATGTAACAGCAAAGTGGTGAATTAGCACAGTTCCAATACAATCAAACACATAATTGGGATGAGGTAGACAACGTAGGTGTAACAGGTGCATGTAAAGACTGTCTATGTGTATAGCGTTACATACACAATGCAGAAACATGTGGTAGTATGCGCACATTAAAATTCACGTGGAACATTTTTAAAAGTTAATTAAAAATTTGTTGTGAAAAGTTTAAAGTTTATAAAATTAAGGGCGCACACTACTCGTAGAATTTTCTTTTTCAGGGCGTGCCTTCGATGAGGTCACAACTAGGACTGATAGCCACTACCAGAGTGGTTACAGCTTTTTATTTGCGTAATATACAGTGATTACTTACACTAATACATTTTATACAAATATTAGATAACATAAGAAGCAATTAATAACAAGCTTATAGAAATAATTGAATTACTAAAAGTTTTTAACATATAAGATTTGGAGTATCAATAAAGAGAAAAGTAAACAGAGTAACTGGAGTATAATGTAGTTTTAGTATAAGAATAATTATTTAATAAGAACGTTGAGTCCAAGCGTCGACCTGGAATCCTGAAGGCCAAATCAGTGGTCAGAACGCTGGGTAAATGGAGAGCGAATTGGAAAGCCGGTACTCAATGGCAGAGTAGTTGTTTGGAGGCTACCGCAAAAGTTGGGAGTTCAGGAGTCACAGATGTAAACAGGCGCAGTTGGTGAGGAATGATGCAGGTTAGGAGTAGTAGGATATAATTTGGAGCAATTAAATAATAGATGCAACTGAGTTAGGTAGTAAACAATGAGTATAAAAGAGTTTTGAATTCACTTAGATAAAGATAAAATTCGATCGTAGGGTCCAAGCATCGACCTGAAGTCCTGGTGGCCAAGCCAGAGATCCAAACGCTGGGAAGATGGAGCTGGATTGGAAAGCCGGTGCCCAGTGGCAGGGTAGTTGGTTGGAGGCTGCTACCAGAGCTAGGAATACAGCGCCCAATCCCCAAGTTTAGGGAAATTGGTAATTAGGAGTCATAGATACAGGTGCCTGAGAATTTTGAGGAGTAAATTAGTAGGAAAGGTATGGTTATTCTGCCTTTCCCGGCAAATCAGTGCCATAGTAATCTTATAGTTTTGGTAAATTGGCTGACCAGTCAAGGGTCAGATACATCCCTTTATTTAGAGTAGAGCTTCGTTTAGTTAAACAACATGTATAGCAACAAGTTGCTAAGTAGTGTAGAAACAATTGTTTCAGAGACAGGGTTGCTGAGTAATAGCAAAATAAGGAAACTGAGAGTAAGAGTGCAGGGTAGGAGAGCATATGAGGAATATACATGGGTCTCACTCTGACCAACGATTTTAAGCATAACTGGCAAAGCTAAGTTGGTATTAGTGCAGTGTGCAATGCAAGAAAAACAATAATTGAATAGCACATGTTGTTTACAATTTTAGTAATAAGTTTTCTCATTGCAAATCCATTACCAACCAGGAGACCAGTGCTTGTATAGGAGCAGTCGCAGGGCAAACATCAGTTTTTATTAACACATGGTATGTAGCAGAATTTGTAGGGGCAAAATAAGTTCAATCTAACAGCTACTGCATTGAGCATTCCACAGTAGACAGACAATTTTATTTGGAGTAAAGCAGCAGGAATAATTAGATGTAAAATTTCCAATTTCAGATTTATATACCATTAATAATCCAGGATGTGTACAGGTATCAAACGTAGAGCAGAGTTCAAGTTGGATTAGCCACAGGTATGTACCAAGTTTGCAGCAGTATGACGAATTAATCTAATTTTAATTTTCATTATAAGGTGTGGAGAGGTACTCATACATTTCAGCAGGCATAGAATTATTGAGATTGAAGAGTTTACTAGGTAAGCAAATTTGTTTTGAGTAGATTAATGAAGATGATTTCGTTCAATATTTCTAATTGCAGCTTTATTCCTGTTTAAGTATTCAGCAGATGAACCAGAACTGGTTACATACATAGGAGCCGTATAAGTTTGATTGAGCACAGGTATGTAGGCAGATAGGTAGCAGCATGATAAATTTAATCCAAATTAAGAATTCTGTATCAGTTGTGTAGGATAGGCAGCAGAGAAAACATCAATCAAGGTTGGAAGGCAGATATATGAGCAGTAGGTGGTCTCCGATTTGTTTCTGATTGAGAAAATAGTATGCATTTGGGATCCAACTGTAGAGCAGACATCAGGATGGATTAATAGCAGGTAAGTGGGCAGATTAGTAGCAGGATGCTGGGTTTAATCTGTTTTTAAAATCTTATTTCCGTAAAGGTATGAAAGCGGCAAGGATGACGCTAAAAACAGGACGTGATTAGCCAGGGTCAACAATGTCCGGCATAGTGGAATGACTGTTCTCCAAATCTGGTGACGATGAACGGGATACATGATAATTAGTACTCCAAATAGCCGCTATGGCAGGATTAGCTAATGTGTGATGATCAGGCAAGCGTGGCCAAAGGCAGGTTACCGGAGGAACGTAAGACAAAGCAGTATTTATGGTATCAAAGGTTGGTAAGGTAATTCTACCTTCTCTTGACTGGACAGAATCATGATCTTCATCTAATTCATTTTCAATTTGCAGTTTCAATCTGGAAAGCCTATCATCTAGTTGCTGCTCAGGAGTAGGTGGCGGAATCTCACTCGGAGAAAGTGGAGTCATGATAAGACGTTGGATGTATTCTGGTTGGTATTTAATTTTCTGCGCTGTTTCCCAGCGCGTAGAAACACCGCTGCGGAGTTTACGTGATAGAGTGTTTACCCAAAACATCGAGGGGCGCAGCAAAGGATCGCGTTCAAGTTCTAGGCGTTCTCTCTCTTCACGAGCTTCAGTAGCCAATCTTTCTTTAAGCCTATTTTGTATATCTGTTTGTTGTAGTTCAAAACGTATTAAAGTAGGGAATGGATAGTCAGGAGTAGCAGGAGATTGTTGTTGATGTTGCAGGAGTAGCTGGCGGAGTGGAAGAAAGTGTTTTTCAGCTTGTTCTTTATATCTTGACCTTTCAAGTCTGTCTGGAATAAACAGTTCAGATAGAATACGCCTAGCTTCTGGATTTGGATGCGAGACCAGCGAGGTAGCAAGTCTTTCGCTGGATTCAGAGTAGATTTCGTTGACAGATTTAATGTTATACAAGTCGCGTATAGTTTGGTTTCTAACATATCGGCCAGCTTTAGAAATTTTCCGGAATAGCTTACTATGTGCAGACTCCATTTTCTGAAATTGAGTGTTAGAGATAAGAGCACCCCAAATGGGTAAGGCGTACTGCCAAATGGGGGCAACAATTTGCTTGTAGAGTAGGATTTTACTTTCAACTGAAAGACTACTTTTATTTCCAATTATCCAGTTAAGGCTAAAGGCAACTGAGCGGGTACGATTTATGAGCATTTTGATATGGTGGTGAAGAACAAGCTTTCTGTCCAATATAAGTCCGAGGTATCGGTGCTTGGGTTCATTCTTTATAAGTATTTCATTCATCTTAGGTGATTTAGGTCCAGTAATGGTGGAAATGGATCGCTTTGTATATAGGACATGGACTGTTTTGCAAGGATTAAGAGTAATACACCAATCAGAGGCCCATTTAGTGACATGTCTGAGGAAGTATTCATTAGCACGAATAGCATCATGAGCCTCTTTCCTAGTACAGAGTATAATGGTATCATCAGCATACGTGGATAATAGCATATTACTAAGTCGGTCAGGATTATAGACATCATTACGGCTAATTATTTCAGGAATGGGCATATCTGAGGTGAAGATCGAATAAAGAATGGGACCCAAAACACTCCCCTGTGGGACGCCAGCTTTGACATTTCCGATTCGGGATGATGTTCCATTTACTCCATTTACTGTAAATGTCCGATTATTTAAGTAGCTTTCTAGAACACGATACAGTGAATAGGGAAGGAGCTTAACTAGTTTTAATAGGAGACCCTCATGCCAGACACGATCAAAGGCCTCACTCACATCAATGAAAACAGCAGAGCAGAAGGAGTTTTGCTCATAGGCAGATAGAATGTGTTGAGTGACTCGTAATAACTGCTGCTCAGTGCTATGTTGTTTCCTAAAGCCAAACTGATGAGAAGGAATGGCTCGTTCAAAGTCCTGGCAGTTAAACATCCTATCCATAAGTAGCGTTTCAAATATTTTAGAGAAGCCAGCAAGTAAGCTAATGGGTCTGTAAGAAGCGACATCATAGGGACTTTTTCCTGGCTTCTTAACCATAGTAATGGCTGCATGTTTCCATTGTTTGGGAAAATAACCATATCTTAAAATGCAGTTGTAAATTTGGGTGAGATAAAGAATAGCTTTTTGAGGCAATAACTTAATAACCTTATTATCAATGAGATCTGGGCCAGCAGCTTTTTTGTTTTGAAGAAGCTTTATTTTGGAGTGCACTTCGTTAGGTGAGATGGGTCGGAAGGGGACACCAACGCCATTAGATTTATTGTCAAAGGATTCACGATAGATCCAGCTGGGAGCAGCCATTAGAGATTTTTGGAGGCGGACTACTTCTTTTTCAGCAAGGACTTTAGTTCTAAATTCAGGTGAATTAGTAAGTTTAGGTGAGAACCTTTCCTCCAAGTGAATAACAAAGGCATTTGATTTGTCATCATTATTTTTGGTCCAAGTAGTTGAATGATTAGCACTATTAGAATTATCAACATGGAGTTTGAGTGGCCAGTTAGGTTCCGGTTGTCTTTTGAATTGATTTGTGATTCTCCAAAGCTTTTGAATACGGTATCGATCAAGTGGGTCAATTTTGTTAAAAATATTATTGGTCCTCTTAATTTTTTCATCTCGTAAGGCTTTAGTAAAGCGCCTACAGGCTGCCAAAAAATTTTTTCTGGCAATAGGGGATTGCACTGCGATAAGAAGGCGTTTCATCTGGAACTTAGCATCTTGGAGTTTACGAAGTTTTTGATTAAGAGGAATTCTCTCAGGACGATTGGAATGACGAGTTCTTATAAAACGAGTAGCCAGAGAGGCGGCATGGTAAATGTTACGATTAAAGATGTCGATCGCATCCTCAATGTCTTGACCACTATTAATGTCTGTGTTGAGCAGTATAAGTCCCGATAAAATATTTTGAAATTTCTTAATGTTAGCGCCAGAAGGGAGCAGTCGGTGAAGTTTTTGAGTGCTATCCACGCAGCCATTTATTGAGAGCTTTATAAATATAGGCAAGTGATCTGATCTCAGATCAACTGTAGAGTAAGTACGAGTTCTGTCATAATGAAGGCCAGAATAGACTGCAAAGTCTATAGCAGACGGGAGTTTTCTTTGATCGAAGGGAAAATGAGTGGCCCCACCCGTAGCCAGCACATTAAGTAATGCGTTTGAGTGTATGCATTCGAGAAGAGATCTACCCCTAGGGCAGGATCTAGGATTGCCCCACCAGGGGTGCTTAGCATTCCAGTCTCCGCAGACTATAAACTTTGAGTTTTTAGAAAGGCTTTTGAAATGAGTAAATAGTCTTTGAAAATGATCTATAGTCCAAGAGAATGTTGGTGGGCAATAAATTGGGCTGATAACTATATCCTCATCATTAGTAGTGCGCAGTAAAATCGGAGCACATTGTAGAAATTCTTCCTCAATAGGTTGCAAGGCAATATGTTTTAGTTTAGCATTAACATAGGTAACAACTCCCCCTTTTCTATTACCAGAGGGGTGGAAAGCAGGATACAGTAAAAACCCTTCAATATTATAAGAATTATCTGCAGAAGCATTGGAGCCAGGGTTTGTAGGTAAGCGGCTTTCCATGACCATCATAATGTCAATTTTATTTGATTTAATAAAGAATTCTAATTCAGTCATTTTGTTATTTAGTCCACAGGCATTCCAATAGGCTATGTTAATAGAATTAATATTAGGTTCGCTTACAGGATATCCAGAATTGGGCAGTGGATTATGGAATACACTCCGCTGCAGAGGAGCAGCAGTGCGATGATTGATTGATGAGTAACTAGGCATTAAAGGAGTCATTAACAGTAGCGGGTAGTGGCAGATTAGAGCCAGTAATGAGTGAGCGCAGGAGAGTGATGAGAATATCCAGCTTCTTGCCCATCTCACCTATAGAGGACAAACAGCGATGCATTAACAATGGGAGATCGCCGTGTGCTGATGAGAGAGGGGGCCAAGACATAACAAGTAACCGCCTTGGGGTAGGTTGAGGATGATGAGAAGAAGAACAAGGTTGTAGAGCGTGGCAAGTGTCCTCAAATTGGTGTGATTGGTTGGTATTAGGACTAGGCTGCTGCTGAAATTTGTTTAAATGATTATTTGCAGAATTACGTATGTGGAGGATTTGAGTGCATTTATTATCAGGGTTATTAATTATAGATTTTTTGCCTGAATTAGATTTCACCTGGGGGGTGTCAGCTTTATTTGATTTGAGTTTGTAATCAGGTGAAATGACTTTTCTACGCCCTCGAGGAGGCAACTGGCGATCTCTATTATTTTCCCAGGCAAAAACCTGCTGTTGTTGCGACGAATTCAGAGATAGGTGGCGGAGCTGCTGAGAATTAACAATTGTGTGTTCTTGGTAGGAAAGGAGCTGAGACTTGGCTTTTTTAAACGCAGGACATCCTTTATAGCTAGCAACATGGCCAAGACCACAATTGGCACATGTAGGATTAGCAATTTTAGTTTTAATGCAATTCGTGGATGGGTGGTTGCCAGCACACTTAAGGCAGACAAAATCACGACGGCAGAAATTTTTCAAGTGCCCAAAGCATTGACATCTATGGCACATAACTGGCTCAGCTCCACGTAGCTGTCGTTCGTTTACCTGGTTTTTAGGGGCAAGTTTATTAATGGTTGCACGGTCACTAGGAGTCAAGTTTAGGTTAGGAGAGAATCTAGGAAGCCTATAGGGTGTGGAACGACTTTTGTCAAGGGGGCCATCATAAGCAGCAATAGATTTAGGTAGTGTATCCACGTTTCCATTTAGGCTATCTTCATATTCTTCCATACTAGGGTCCATATTGTTGTTACTGCTAGGATTTGGGGATGGCTGCTAGAATGGCACCAACATTTCCATGTGCAAAGTACAGTCTCATTAAGGATGATGGTGTGCCAGTACAGTATAGTACAGTAGAGTATTTATTGTGGTGGTGGAGTTTGACGTGATGATATTAGGAGGAATGCATATAGGTTGATGTAGTAGTGCAGAAGATGTAACAGCAAAGTGGTGAATTAGCACGGTTCCAATACAATCAAACACATAATTGGGATGAGGTAGACAGCGTAGGTGTAACAGGTGCATGTAAAGACTGTCTATGTGTATAGCGTTACATACACAATGCAGAAACATGTGGTAGTATGCGCACATTAAAATTCACGTGGAACATTTTTAAAAGTTAATTAAAAATTTGTTGTGAAAAGTTTAAAGTTTATAAAATTAAGGGCGCACACTACTCGTAGAATTAGGATAACACACAGGATTAAAAAAGCACTTTCTATTTCATTTTTCTTTTCTTTTTTCTTTTCAGTTTTCATTTTCTTTCAGGTTTTTTCATTTCAGGGCGTGCCTTCGGTGAGGTCACAACTAGCACTGATAGCCACTACCAGAGTGGTTACAGCTTTTTATTTGCGTAATATACAGTGATTACTTACACTAATACATTTTATACAAATATTAGATAACATAAGAAGCAATTATTAACAAGCTTATAGAAATAATTGAATTAATAACAGTTTTAAACTTGTGAGGAACATGTAAGATTTGGAGTAACAATAAAAAGAGATATTAATGGAATAGCTGAAGTATTTTAAACATATATACAGGCTTAACGTAAGGATAATTATTTATTAAGATCATAGAGACCGAGCGTCAACCTGGAAAACTGGAGGCCAAGTCAGAGGTCAGAGCGCTGGGTAGATGGGAGCCGAATTGGAAAGCCGGTACTCAATAGCAGAGTAGCTGG